TGTTGAGAAGCTGTTTGTACAATAATTATTTAGACATTCGTTTTAAACTGGGTAAGTAAACATGTAGGTGTTGGAACAGACAGTTTACTCTAGACATTTCATGTACCAGGTGCTAGCTTGCTTTTGTTAATAGTGCACACATGCCATACGTCACGTGAGATTGTTTCAATAAAGAAAATAAAACAGTTTCATTTCCATAGTAAGCTCTGGAAACTAAAAAAGACTACAAAAATATTGTTAAAACCAAACTTTCCTAGTTTGAAAACGTATGTTTGAAACCCTTTTCCCTCGATCCGATAACTTTTTGACGCGCTTTTGAAATAAAGGAAAAACAAGAGTATGAAAAGGGAAAAAAACAATACAAGACTCTTACACTGTATATGGAAAACAGCCGTTTAGTTGTCAGAGACTGCGAAGTTCCATGTGATATCTTTGGTTTTAAGAGATCCTAGCCGCGATTAAAATTCCAAAATAGGTTTGTATTTGCCAGCATTAAAAAACACGAGGTTTCTGAGTGCCGTGTCATATGAAACATGCGGCCGCGGTTACAAGCGAGTATAAACAAGTCGTCGAGTGACAAAGCCGGTAAAAAACAAGGCTTTCGAAGAACAAATGATTCTTCGTAGACAAATAATTAATTTGGTGTGAAAAGATCACCCCGGCAGCCAGGGAAACTTCAGAAAACATTTCTTTATTGCTTTTTTTCTTCTTTTTTCTGAATCATGAAAAAATTAAAGTGTTGCGTGAATTGTGCGGCCTGGCCGTGAATTCGCTCGAGGGCAGAAATTTGATGAATTTAGACCGACAAGCAAGTTTGGGATTTTGAGATCTGAAACACGGCCTTGACTCGAATGTTTGCGGACAAACCGTACTACTACTTTCTAAAAGATTCCAAAACATCGGCAGTCCTTTCCCGGAACCCGTCATTTCGCGTTTTGACATATCTTTTTTCGCGTCCGACACGGCTGGAAGCGAAAACAAGTCGGCCACCCGAGAGGAGAGGAAAGAGAAAGTTTTAATAAACGAAAACGAGCTTTACAGCGCTTGAGCTCCGACAGGGACCAGTGTATAATGCGCATCAACATTCGAGGATCTCATTTGAAACTCCAAAACTTTAGCTGGTTAAAATCGCCAGAACTCTGCCGATCAAAAGCGGATAAATTGAGATTCAAACCGGGGAAATCAATTTAGACTCTATTTTCGTAACAACCCGCGCACGGTACCAAAAAGCGCCTAGCACTAACTCTAATTCCGACAAGAATCTGGACAGTTTTCGAAATTATCTCATAGTTTAGGGAAAGTACAGTTCTTTAAGGATAAAGAATTGTCATTTCCGTGTAAACTGAAAGCGAGTTGCGTTAACTAGCTTACCGTAAACTTGAAGTTTTATCAGCGAACGTCAACCTCCACGCATGAAGTGTTTTCGGGTGTTTGAATATTCAATAACCTTTTAGTTTCAGACGGGTTTCTCACTCAAAACACCCTTTCTCTGAGTTTTGTTCGAATAGAACACTTTCAAAACTAAAAGGTAAAACCTTTGGCTATTAGGAACTGGGCTTTTTATGGCTTTTGGCGTGTTGTTCACGGCGACAAAAACTGAAACCGTACTGCTTCCCGAGTGTGAAATACTTGACCTCGCTTCCATGTGGATTCTTGTTTTGTTGGCTTCCTTGTAGAACATCTTGGTTTAGATCAAGTTTTGAGCGCATCATTTCGCTTTTCTCCGTTCGAAAATAAACTTCAACGACGGTGAAAAACCTGGAGAATTCATTCCTGTAGATTTTGAAAAGATGTGGAACCGAACAAGGCCATTTTAACAGGATTAGCATGTGACACCCTAAAACCAGTCATGGCTTTCACTGTGAAGAGTTACAACATGAAACTTACTTTTAAAATCAACCAAAACCCCCGAAAAGACCGCAAAATTCGTTTGAAAACGTTAGAAAAATACCTTGGCTTACTACCTGAGTATTTTTGACCGCTTTCTAAGAGGAAAAACACGCAATAAAGAACAGCTTACAGATCTTACCACTTGGTCAGACTGTCTCCCTGCAGAAATGAATTGACGGTGAACAATAAGATCTCTCGCCTTTCGTCAAAGCTGCCAATCAAACGCCAGTGAACAATTGAAACACGTGATTGGGGCTTTTATTATGCAAAACCACCGGAACTTTCTACGATGCCAGAATTTTCAATATCGTGCGAAAACCGAGAAAAAGAATTCTTTTTGACGAAACAGGAATGCAAACAAAACACGCTCGTGTTTAGCATTTGCCCTGTGAACTATTCCCCGTGAATGGCCGTGCGATCACTTCATTTGAGATGTTTATTTTAGTGTTCTAAAAGTATGCAAGTTGAACACACCGTTCAATTACTGCTTTTACGTCACAAAGAGCAAATAATGGTTTCGATTATAGCGGCATGGACAACGACAGAATTTTTACAATGAAAACACGTTCTGTTTCGCCCTGGAGGACATACCGCTAAATGTTGCAAGCCTTCTTACTGAACAAACGTTCTAAAGCAATCACGAAATTTCGCCTAGAAAACTCTATCCGCTTTTTTATATACGTTAGTCTAGATTTTTAGTTGAACGAAAACGGGTTTAGTTATTTAAAATACCCCCGACGGTGACTTGAAAATCTCGGATTTATATATAACTTGGGTTCAAAACAACGACCTGATAATAGATATAAACCAAAGAAAAAACAGTGAATAGTTTTATGTGTTCGTTCAGGCATGTTTTGAAACTGCGCTTAATTGGAGTTAAATCTATGACCTTTTCGTAAATGAAAATTCAAACGACCAATATATAAGCACTCGACTTCCTTAACTTGTTTATAATATCCCGTTTTCCGTTGTTGAAAATCCACTGTCGTCGGAAAACTGTAACATGACAACGATCGTTCTGTGATTTTTCAAATAAGACATTTTCCGCCTTGAGGTTTTTTCGATTTCCGTTGATGAGTTAGTGATTAGCCCACGTCGTCCAAAACATTTTTCAGACAATATTCGATCACAAAACATACTTTAATTGTTTCCTTTTCGATGATTGCTACAATCAAGAGAGTGGTTTTTTTACAAAGAATGCAGCTTATCAATAACCGTAAAATAGGTTACAATTATTTTCAACGATTTGATTATTAGCCGAGCGTTCTGGTACCAGCGCAAGCAATAAAAACTGAACAGAGGTTGTACAGAATAAAATTCACCTCCTACAGGATGGTAGACTACGAGTAGTCCCTCTTTCGCTTAGTCCGTCCAGCGAGACGCGAAAGCAAACCGCGAGAAAAAACGGCCGCGCGGATCTCGCGCGGCCATTTTTTCTCGCGGTTCTCGCTCGACGGACTAAGGAGCGAGA